TAAGTTTTATTTGTTAAATTCATCCCACCAGGGGCCGCTAAATTGAGTCGGGTAGATATGATCAAGGCAATATCTCTCTATCGGAGACACCGAAAAGGCAAAATCCGTGCCGTAAACGATGAACAAGCGCTCTTTCGAACACTTACTTATCAATTAAGGAAAAACCCCAGAGACTTGCACCGCGAGATCCTCACTAACTTTTTTATGAATTACATAAGAGAAGGCATGGAAGTCAGTTTGATTTTTTGAACGAAGATTAATTTGATGAAATAAGAGTTTACTTATAATGTACATACATAATAAACGCACCAACTAAACATAAAGAGAGTTTTATTCAATCTACTTATTTTCAACATTTCAGAACATTTTTGTGATATGCTCATTATTATGAAAATAAAATCGAACATCTGCAAATTTCAAAGCAATATCGTTTGTGTTTATAAGCTGTGTTTTTTTTTTTAAATGGATTTTGCCTAATAATAATATCGTAATATGGTGGTTACACGTATGTATGATGGAATTCAAATGTTTGGCACCTTTAACCGGCAGTTTTTATGAGAGGGGATATCAGCATTTGTCTGATCGATTGGGTCTAGGAGATGGATAAAGCAGAAATCATGAATTATTTGTGAGGCCTGTTTTATATGGTGTTTCCATATCATACACAGAATAATATAACAATTTGTCGGTATATGTGCTAGTTTTCATGTTTATTCCTTCTGAATATATTCAAATATTGCATTTCTGCTGAAATAGAATTTAGAAATTCTACTGGCATCTTAAGACTGAACAGACACAAAGGAACTATATGACGCTTCAAGCCCAACACAAACTTAGCATGAAGAAATTACTGGAGAGTGTGAATTATATTTTGCAGACACACCAATTTGGAGAATAAAAAAATAAGTTTCCAAATATTGATTCTGCAAAACGTCGATCGTCAAAATAGACAAAGAGAACGACTTAACACACCCTATTAAGACACGTATCATCTTCGGGCGATCATGATGTTACCGGTTCCTTGAAGTTGGAGGCATCGGCGTGCAATAAAAATATTGTCAAACTTAATTTGGAAGTCGCTCAGTCACCGCCACATCTGAACGAGCCAGTGTGAGCTTCTTTGGTATCATATTAACAGTAGTAATGGTGCAGTTGAAAGCCTGCTATCGCTTTAACAGCCATCACTGACAGAGAAATGATAGACCAGCATTCGGGCCTGCAACTTTACCAATATGATTATATGATGATGGACCAAAATTACGGGAGTCTGGAAAAGAGGATGTCATCAAACTGACCCCGACTGTTAGAGGATCTGTCAACTGATTTTTGACTGCTCTGTGTGACTTGTGTAACAATTCTAAACTGATTCATTATATCTTAAAGAAGGTTACAAAAAGAAGGTTTTATAAGTAACTTTTCTTTTTAAGTTCATATCCAATCTAATGGACATGATATTTACCAAAAGAAAAACAAAACATTACTTTATTGTCCTTACTGACATATTTCATTTTGTCAAATAAAATCTGCAACATGACTATGTTGCAGATTTTATTTGACAAAATTAAATATGTCAGTAAGGACATTAGATAATGATATCATGACAATTTTTTTCCAAAATCATAAAACTGAAATACTTTTGCAGCGTTGTATAAATAACCTTAGCGGACTGTAAACTCTAAATACTATATTCAAAGTCCTAAGAAGGCTTATTTGGGAAGGGATTTATATCAAATCAATAGCATTTTTTAAGAAGTAAACAATAAACACAACTTCTACCCAATTATCTTTGTAAACAAAAAAAATGTACTGGAATAGTCCTTTGATTGATACATCGTTATAACCCCAATATTTTTGAAATCGTGCATATTTGTCTATAAAAAAAAAAACACTTAACAGTGTAATCGTGTTGTGATTTGTCTCGATGACAAACCGTGAGCAAAGTGTCTTAAGATATGGTTTTAACGGCCGTTTGATATGGATATTAGAAGTCCTAAAATAATTACAAGTTCAGCAGAGTAATATCATAATGCATTGTAGCAGCGGTTAAAAGCTCTAGGCATCATCTTATTCCATTTATTTGCTAATCTTCTGAATTTGACAAATAATTCATCTAGAAAAATCGTTATTGATATTGGAATTGACCACTGTTTTTCTGAAAGGAATTTTCAGTAAATCCTGTTTAGCTTGGGTTGATGCAGAGAGATAGGGTCCATAAAAATCATAAACGTCAATTAGTCCATCCACAAAAAATCATCGGCCAAAATGAACAGACTAATAAATATAGTTGTTGCTTTGTTTTAGTCGTTCTAGTGAAAGATTAATGGAAGTAGAAGACCAAAATCCTCGCTTCAAACTTAAGGCAAAAGAAAAGTGCATGGATATACAAAATTATTTGACAATAAAACTACGCTCGTGAAAGTAAATTGGAAATATGACGTGCCAAATTGTCACCTTGGTTACGTAGAGGCGATGAAACCTCAGGAAATTCCTCTTTCAACTGTCTGCCCCTGTTTTTCTAAATTCTGAGAAATTTACATTGTGTAAAAAGTATTTTTACAGTAAATATTTCGGTCTACACTGGGAAATCTATGGAATGATCTGGGGTATGTGAAGGTGTCGGAAATATCAAAGGGTCTGAATACTGAGAAAGTAAATAATGGTGTATCTAGTGTTTACAGACTAAATTATTTATTTATTTTTCTTATTTATCTATTTGTGTGTGTGTGTGTGTGTGTGTGTGTGTGTGTGTGTGTGTGTGTGTGGAATACTTTTGAAACTTTATTTAAAGCAATTCACATCTTTGAAAAAAATGAATTTACTGAAGGCATAATCTTGAAGGCTCAAAAATTCATATTTTCATTTCATGTATTTTATGATAAGGTCGATTTAAACTTGTATTATCATGGGTGTGGTCTACAGTAAAAGTAATACTAAATAAACACATATGTTTGTGTAAATGACTGTAGCACGTGAGACGAGAAGATTTCAACGATCTTGGAGTAGTCACTTTACTCCGAAAATAATCCTTCTGCCGCTTTCTCACTTGTATCTTCCCCAGGGGATATGTGATCAATGAAACGCGCACGGTTTCATTCAAGCAGCAACAACACGTAAGCATAATGGCTACCCCCGGGGATTTGTGGGAAATGGTTTCGTAATAGTTTAGCGAATGATAAGTAAATTAATTAAACAATTAAACAGCTGTATCGTAAATGTGTCTCGCAATACTAATATATATTGTGGTTAATCAAAAATGAATGGGACGAGCTTGACATTAAATTGATCTCAAAACAATATCTGATCACAGCATATTCAATTTTTTTCTTTCTTTTTTTTTTGCTTTGTCAAACTGAATTTATACTTCTTGCAACATAAACAAGAAAACATTGATGTAACCATCAATTGTCGCCCGGGAAATAAATAAAGTAAACAATGGAAATGAGTCTTCATCATCAAACCGCTTCGATATGTGTGAAAAAGGCATGCGTCTAAATGATGGAGACGATAGTCGAGAATATTTTTGAAAACTTATAGTCGGATGAAAATCGAACAAAAACGATACCCTTTTAAACTTTATCAATTCCTCAAGTAAATGTTGGCTGCATAAAATATAATTTGAAACCAGACACATGCATCACATATTTTCAAAAATGTCTTTCACCTTAAGAATATAAAACACGAACTGTGTAAAGTACGTTTTTACGTTTTTATGCGATAAGTAAAATTCGATGTTCTGAAAAAAGGGACCTGTCGTTTTTTCGATAGTAAATGATAAGCAACTTTATATATTAAATATGAAAAACATATATATTTTTACAGATTCACTTTATGGAAGTAAATATATTGTGTATCTCGTAATTTATAAAGGGAAAGAACATTCTGATTAACAATCTTTTTAATGTTTAGAAAACCTTTAATTCTGAATAACTTCTCCCACCTCAATCCCCATATACCAACACTTAAACTTATATGTATAGAGCAGCCCGGTCCTCCGGGCTGCAATAAATTTGTGGAATTCGTTGAAATCAAGCCAAATAATTTGGAGTAAATCCGGAAAAAAAGAATCTATATGGAGCTGGTGTCTGCTTTTAAGATTTTCAAGTCGTAAATGTCACTTGATAAAGCTGCATATAAAACTGAATCGAGCGCTGGTCCATCGATCTAGTTAAGAGTGTTTCTATAGAAATCTTTTAGGGGACACCACAGAAGAACTTCATTCTCGGCGGTTTTTGCGCTATTAACTCTCGGAATTAATTCATTAATACCAGGTCAAAAAAGAAATGATATTATCTCATTTTCTAGTTGCAAATAAATCTAGTTTTTAATCTCTCGGAGAGCGCTGGTCTTTGCTGTGGAGATTAATGCGACATTAGGCTTTTGTATTTCACGCAGCACAAAAGGTTGCAAAGTAATTGAAATAAGTTTCCTGACAAATAAGGAATATCGAAAAATAGACCAGACTTCAAAATCGCTTCAATGATTTTGCTAGACGTGCTCTTAAGGTTTTCAATATCAAAAATATATATCTTCCCATTTCACTGTGACCATTAACTTTCAAAATTCAGCCGTCAAGCAAAACACAAACAAGCAATAAAATTCCTACGCACACTATCTACTGTAAATTGTTTTCTAGTCATTTGTAAAATTTATCGGAAACGATCGGAAAATCACACCACTTATTCTAGACCCGTGGGGTGCCACTGTCTCGGCAACGGAAACACCTGGTCTGCACGGGACATGTTTTGTTTTCTCGTCATACGTGGACAGATTCAATGTCTGACACATGTGCTGGCTATGTCGGAAGAGAACATATCAAAGAAAGGTCTGATTTGTAATTAGACAGCAGCTCAAAGAGAAAATTAAAGAAAATTGCTAATATCGGGAAATAAAGGTTATGACCCGAGAAACTGAACACCTTGGGATGGGTGCTCGTTAAATGACAGACGTTTGTATCAAAACCCAATGAAAAATAAATAAATAATAAATAAAAGAGTCCCTACCTGTCGATAATGACCGGATCGGAGGGTGTTTCGTTTCTATTTCCACAACTTTTCTTGTCGCAGCACCGACTACAAACAAAAAAACAAAAAAATAAATAAATAATTGTACTTTTTTATTCAAATGAGGGGAAAAAATCCTCTTTAGAATATTATATTTTCGTTACCGTAAAAGAAGTAAATGCATACAATGAAATAAGTAATTAATTAATGTACACCATAAAACAAAGGGAGAAAAAGTGTCGACGATTCAAAAGTGAATACAGTTTGTAAATAAAGTTTTGAATTTTTTGGGAGGCTCTCAAGTCCACGGAAAAAAAATTACCCACAAACAAAACTCACACAGATAAATTATACAAATGGTAACTGCCTACATTGCAGTAATTTAATCTTTGTTGTTTTTGGAAGGAAGAAAAAATAAAGATTATATAGGAAGAATTTCTCTAAAAGTAAATAAAATGGTCATAGATGTATGTTGACAAAAAATAACTTAATGAACTAGGGATAAAATTTATCTCTATTTATATTTAGAATATTCCTGTTCATATTTACCTTTATTATTTTTTCATTATTATTTTAATTTTTTCTAATTATCACAAGCGTAAAATACGATGAAAAATGACTTCGAATTTCTTTAGTAATTACGAATGACAGATCAACAACATTTAGTCTATTAATTCACTTATCATTCTCTTAGATTGCATGCTTAATTTTCGCTTGATTCCACATAAAGACAAGATTAATTAAAAACGTTTGAACCTAGGCGTTGATCAATCGAGCAATATGTAATAATCAAGAGCGGACGTCCCCCCACAGCGGGAGGGGCATAGTAATGAGGTCATAGATGGGGGAGACAGACCGGACCCAGATGGTTCAGACAGGAGGAACAGATTGAAGGCAGTGATAAATGAAAAGTAATGGGGCTAAATTTGTTGTGAATGTAAATATAATGTCGGGGGATAAGAACGCTATCATTGTTTGTTGAAGGGGGACTGGGTTGTGTGTTCGACTCTTGTCAACAAAACAGTTAGACGTTTTGTATTCACTGACAGAAATAAACACTCTCTGTTTTGCTTGTTTCAGTTGTTACTAACGTGTAAAATTAACTGAATAATTGTTTCAAAATGCTGACATTTAACGCACGAAATGGATAATTATTATCAGGTTAACAATTCTAGTTTACAATGTTAATTCATTAATTATTTACGTGCATATTTTCAATAGGCCTTGAATTTAAAAAAAAAAAATAAATAAAATTATGCCAAGAATTAAAAAGGGTAAAATTTGCTCAACACCGTTTCCAACATTGATTAATTTTCGGTTGGTTGGTCTAAAAAAGAGAGCCAATAAATGATTTCTTTTCTATTGAGTACCTGCACATGACTTCATGCGTGAGTAAAACTCGGCACATCTCTGGGTTTTTGTCCTGTCCTTCATAGATAATTGCCTATAGGAAAATGAAAAAAAAAATATCTAAAAATTAAAAAATGGGAGTAAATTGAAAAATTCAAAATAAAATTGTTCAAAAGGCGTTACAAATAAATTGAACAGTGCTGTCAATTTTAGATATTTCAGGGGTCAATGCATAGTCGTCAATTAATTGATTTTATGCTGAATTTGAGTCCGTTTGGTAATATAAACGCTTACAACGGACGTCGCTCGGGCAAATTACATTCATAGCCTTATTTCTTCACTCAAGAAACGCGGTGGCAGTATTCAATGAACGCCTCTCTCAGATACGAGAGGAGAAAATTGGTCTATTGTACTGACTTCATTTACATCTATAACCAAGAATTTAGCGACTCGCCATATGCTCCGGATATTCACACAAAAATACAAAACAGAACTTGTCTCTGAAATTTAACGCTGGTATCGCTTGCTTAATGAATAGTGTATAATTCGTTGTTACATTTCCTCTTGCAAATGAGACTCGAAAATCATAGGACAAATTTCATTTTCGTCTCCTAATAAATATCAGATGTAAACAGAGGTCAGGTTGAGAAGATTATGAATTCTTCTCCATCCTTCCACAATTACGATACTGCAAAAACGGTAAAACTTAGATGGCGATTTAGCGGCCGATTTTCCGTGACACCTCTGGAATACTTTCGTGACACCCTGACAGTTGTGGAATTTAAGGCACGTTGTCCAGGAAAATTCAGCATATCATCTAACCAATGACTGCGGAATTTTTGCAATAACGGATAAATATTTATTCATGCATTAGAAACTTCTTGGGTTACAAGTCATATTCATTAGCTTAAAATGCTATCAATTATCAAGTAATTAAAGATATATGGGGGATAAATCGCTACCTGCTTTGTGACGGAATCGATGAGACGAACGAAGAGGTCCTGTTCTTGTCGAACTCCTGGGAAAAAAAAATCATTTTAACAATTATAAGTGTTAGAATAATTTGTTGTACCGCATCAATAACGGTACGAATGAAAATTGAAACTAATAATTTGATTGTATTTTATAATGCTTTATACAGAGAAACTGGTGATCAATATTCACTGTATTTCAGAGGTTTTTATTATTATTATTTATTTATTGGAATCATGTATCATGAAACTTATTTTTGTTCTAGTTGTATATAGTCAATATTTTTCTATTTTATCTAGCCTTCTTAAAACACATGTATTTTTTTTTTAAAAAAGAAAAGAGATAAATTACATCACTGGCATTTATACGCATTTTTTTAAATTCTACGTTGCTTTCTTAAAATCGTTTAATGAATTAAATTTATTAAATTTAATAAATTAAATTGTATATTTAGAAAACCAAGTCAAAATTTTTGCTTATCTATTTATATTTTTTTCTCTTTTTTGTGCTGTGTTTAACTCGTTTTTCTTAGATTCTTCCCAGCCAAACAACTCGTTTGTCTTAGATTTCATCTTAGCCAAAATAAGGAATTGCATACGAATTTAACCAGTGGGTGGTCAGGAATTAATGGTTAAACAATACATCACAGGGTAAAACAATTTACATCTATACTTAATGGAATCGTCAATCTGATATTCCAAGATAAAAACCATTGGAGCGTGTCCATAATCTCGGGGAGGGAGCGTGTTACACGAGAAAAATCCACGGACAGCTGACAACACAAAATGTCTTCATCATTTTTGATGTTATAACCAGAATCGTACTATCCCAAGCTTAGCTACCAGTTCCCGTTATTGTGAAGAGGAAAATCTTACTCAAGGAAACTGAATAATTAATACTGTACTAAAATAAAATAAAAAGAATCGGCTCCAACAACCAAAAGATTCACATTAATAAATTATAAGCTATGCAGTTCTTTCTTCTCTTGCTTTCTGCCTTTTTTTCTCCTTAATACAATCAATACGATCCATTATTTAAAGAAACTGTTATTTTCTAGTTCGACAGCATCTCACCCGCCATCTGTCAGAAGGCGGAATTCGGTGGAACTCGGAGATCGGGCCGAATTTGGTTCATTGTTTTTGGGTCTAAGTGTAACAAACTACTTTATATAGAAAATCTATTTGTTACTATTTTACCACCGACTTAGATGAAGTCCGGGTTTGAGTGATGTATTTTTTTCAAACAAACGTTTATTCGATACTATCATTTTCTCCCCCGACTTAATTCAATCAGCTCCGTAAAAGGTGACAAAAGTGGTGTAGGAACACTCCATAAAAAAACTCGACACAGTGCGATGCATCCAGGCGATAATAAAAAATATGCAAAATCCATTTAGCGTAAAATTATGTGAAGTCGCTGTTTCTCGTTAATTGCAATGAGAATTTAAAATGGACAAATAATTAAAGTTAGTATACTGCTTTTGTGCTTTTCACAAAGAACAACTCTCGTTTTTCCCCTTTGTATAAAATTGACAGGTAATAATTAACTTTACTTTAAAAAGTCTTCTATTATTCAGTATATCGTGCTTTGTTTTCCAATATTTTTTTATTTTGATTGCCAGAACTCGGATTGCCGTAATATATATATATATATATATATATATATATATATATATATATATACTTTTTTGCACAAAAAAAAAAATAGAAAGAGAGAAAAAGAAAAAAGAGAAAATAAAATAAATAAAAATTCAAAGGAACTTACCGTTAGCATACAATAGCTGGAGCCTGTAATGTATTCCATTATTCGTTTTTTGGCCTTCTAGTTCCTGAAGTAGAAAAAAATAACTCTGAAACTGTTTGTTGAAAGCAATTAATGGGAAAAAAAATACAAATCAAGGGTTTTCGTAATATTTTAGTCTGATTTATTCTAAATGAATCAGAGAAAACAACCGAATGAAATAAAATCAGTATACTAGTTTTTTCCATACAGTGATCGTATACAGGAATTTTACTTCAAAATATAAATGACAGAACAGTTCCCAACATAATATCATGTAACCGGAAAATGAAATTAAACAACTCTATTTTAATTTACATCAGGGATTTGGTCCGAAATACGATCAGAAATGCTAACAGAGAGAAAAAGAACCGGCGACTCGAATACGGACCTGATCCTTTTCCACAAAGTCAATGAAGGCAGTCCTCTCCACTTCAATGGGTTGTCCCTGCCGGTCATACAGTGCCAGCACAAAATGGAAGAAGTTACTTTTCCGTAGATTACTCGGTGGCTGCTTTTCAAAATGTGCTCTCCCGAACCCCACACTGTAAAGTAAAAGTTAGTCTCCTGTGGGAAACGTGAAACTTATTGGAAAATGGCAGATTGAATACCTGAGGGGCCACTCTGGCACTCGGTTTTCATCGCCGGTGCATTTTTCCGGTGATAAAGCTGAAGAATTCTGCATTTGCTTTTATTTTCCCTCAGACAGATACATTCTTGTAGTAGATAGTGGTCCCCATTGAATACATTAGATAGGTAAGACACACTTGTTAGTTTACGTATATGTGCAATGTTTGGACTAGTGAAGTGATGGATAAAATATAATAAGCTCGTATACTTACTTGCCCCCTTGGTCCAGGGTTGTGGGCTGCATCCAGTTCCGTATGGGGTTGGTTTGGACCGGGGCTACGGGTTCCTCCTTCATGGATGGGGGGTCGGGACTTCTAACGGATGTCACGGGTGGGGGAGCCGTAATGAACATGTACAATTACACAAAGAAGAAACACCGAATCTCCTTAAGAAAACATAACTGCGGAAAATACTAGAAATCACTAAAGATTTAACACTCCATTGTAACTTTGTAAAGAAATCTCACACACTTGTTGATGGAGCATAATATATTTGAAGCATCAAATATATCTTGTCGCCTGGTGATGTTGAGAATTGCTTTACGTCGAATCCCATATGAGAGAGAAAAGAGAAATGTTATCTTATTGTTTGGCACCGTTATTTTTGCAAAAAGATATAGGATTATTTACCCCCGTTTTCTGTATCGCTCGGGTGCTAGCCCCGTGAATCTCGAGGGTCTAAACTTTGTTGCATTCTCGTGTACGGTGTAAGGAACTATATCCCCAAGGAAAGTAATATATCCCACGGGAGGCCCTAAGCTTCGACGATGACACCTACTTAGCCAATCAGAATCGCGCGTTTGAAAAGTTGATTGAAATATGAACGCCTTCCATCCAACGGGGCATTATCCAAGGGAGATTGCGGACCAATCAGAGACGTTAGAGGGTCATTGATAATTTACCAAACACATGTTCTCTTCATCTCTTCATATCAATGCTTCTTCAGCCCGATTGATTTGCAATACTGTTATCAAATAGTAGAATTGGGAGTTTTTACGGTATCTCAATGTACTCTGTCAATTGACAATGCTTATTTTCTTTTTTCTTATTTTATGTGATTTTACATTTTATGTATAAATTTCTTTGTGTTTTTCCACATTCTATTTAAAAATAATTTTTATTTTAGTGATAACAAAAAAATGAATATAGTTTGTGGAAAGGCATTTGTATATAAACCAAAGAATCGAAAGCAATAAAAGCCTATTAAACTTATAATTATCTATACAATAAATACATTTTTTTTTTCGGCATTAACTTACCTGAATTTATACACTAATATTTTTTATTGGGAATGAAATATTTATAATCTATTTATAAAGTGAAACTTGCATATAAATTAAAGATATTTTCAATAAATTAAGGTTATGTAAATGTTTGGGTTTTTTTATTGTAATATTTTTGATAACCAAGTTTCCCAGTAACATTTGTCAATTTGTTAAACCTGTTTACTTACAAAAGTATCCCTAGTGTATAATTTTTCAGGAGAAGAATTATTGTTGAAATTAAAACTGGATTCCCTAAAGTGTTGGATTAATTTGAGAGAAATAAATCAGAATTAATCTCCCTATAAATGCTCTGGTAAACTTAATTTTGGAGATTGCTATTTTTCATTTTAGTACATTCTTCAATGTATTTCTTTTTTCTGCAGATTGCCTTCTTCTTGTTGAAAACAGTAATAAAGAGTTGTGAACATTATGAGGCTGCAATTCACTAGAGGACAGAAAACAATAAGGTCGGCCAATGAGGTGTAAATTATCCGCCGTATCCCGCTACCCCAGGGGTCCGGCTTTTACACTAATCATAGCAGTTGACGACACGACGATTGCACAAGAGTCACAATAAAAATCCAGTTTTTCTAAAATATATCTAGATGGCGTTGTTCGTTTCCTCTCCATGGGGACCATTCAGTAGTTACAAATGCCACGACACAATGCAGGGGGAACGCTAGTTTATTATCTTAAGTAGACAATTTTTGAGTCTGACTAAAACGCAATATTTTTGTTGATGGAATTCTTGCTTGCTGAAACTCTGTTTTAAGACCCCGAGTAAGAATGACACTTACAAGTAAATTAAATTATCCACAAGGGACTTCGACTTTAAATCTTGGAATTAAATTTATTCGTGACTTCAGAGCAATGCCTTGGTAGATAAAAGTTCTGAGAGAGAGAAAGAGAGAGAGAGAATAGATAACATTTATTTCTAAATTAGGGCCTCGTGGGGCATATATAATAATATAAAAGACTATCAATCATATCTAACATGCTGTAATCAACTTCATTGAGTAAATATTTTCTCTGAATTTGCTTGCAATAAGTTTTCAATCTTTTCCATCTTTATGATTATCCTGGTCTAAAGTCTATACACTAAGAACAGAAAAAATCAAGATCAGTATAACTTTTGAAATAATTTTGAAAATAAAATAAAGTTATCACCTCGTGTTTATTTTTGAATATTATACTTGCAACATTTGAATTATGTTTGTTAAATACAAACCGAGATATTCAAATTCTAACTTAAAAAAAACAAAAAAAAAAACTCATTCTGGTTTTTTGACGACAAGAATCAACGCACAAAGATCTTAAAGAAATTAAAACAAATGTTTTGATAATATTACCAATGAGAAATAAATCATATAAACAAACATATTTTTAATAAGAAACAAACAAAAAATAAATGAATGAAACAGAACCCCCAAAAACTTTTTTGACGAATTAAAGTGCCATTTTAATGGCAACAAAGTAACGATTGGTAGTTTTGCAATTTGCGAAACATTCCGTAAATTGCGGTGTATGAATATTTCAGAGTCGACATTAGCACGTCCAATTTGATCAGGTTGTTGTGGTGACATTAGCTTGATATATCTGAGCCATTCCCCGGGGGCAGCAGCACTTCAGTCACCCTGTATACACCTTACAGAGATGGTCTAGTCGCGTGCTCTCTCCCCAAACACCCTACACCTGTCCAATGTCGCCAAGGCGCGTGGCTCCGGTCGTCTGATACGACGGTAATTCAATTAACTGTAATGTATCTCTTTTTCCTTTGTCACGGATGTGGACGACTTGTAAATAATCCCTGAGATTTTTAAACAAATTTCATTAAATGTCTGAAGATTTTTCAAGTTTTGAAATCGTTTTGAACATATATATTACAATCTCGTACCAGAGTAATTTTATAATTAAAAAAATATATATTATGCTAAAAAGATATTATGCATGTTTTATGTGGGTGAAAAAGATTTATAAAAATACTTTTCATAGTTTTATTTATTTATTTTATTTTGAAAACGCCAATTTTTTGTATGATCTTCAATTTAAAAATGACCAATTTTATGCATTTTGATTTGGCTTGTAACATTTGATATAAAATATGTGATTAATGTATTCATTTATTGTAGGTTTTCATTGTTTAACTCTTTTTGGGCGAAAATGAAATAGCCTGCAGTGTTCTGATTTTATGCTTTGCAAGGATCTGAAATTAATTCTTTTTACTAATAGGTATAAATGTTTTAAATGACAAAGATGTACTGATGTATTCTTAAAAAGAAAAACTAAATTCATAACATCTTTGCTTAAATACTACGAGATGGTTCGCAGCATTCTGTATATTATTTTTAAAAAACTTTTTTAAAATCCAATTTTGGTCCGCATCATTCTGAATATTATTTTTTTTAAAAGACAGTTTCCAAACATCCAGTTTTGAAGTGTACATGTAAATACTCATATCATTTAGTCCAAGCACTATTCGTTACTGAGTAACGAAGAGAAACGGCAGCATATTTAATTAATGTAGTACAAAACACCCATTAAATCTATTTTAACTAATTTCTTAAAAATTGCGTGAGAAAAAAGAATGAAATCCCTATATTGTCAATAATCAATGATCTTTGTAAGAAAACATAATAAGCTGTGACAATTTTTTTTTTTTTTTTTTTTTTAAATAAGAGACATCCTATACATTGGTCACTTGAGAGCTTATATTTCAGAATGAGTTTATACTCTCTACATGCGATATGACAGTCTGTTATTAAATGCAGTGTAACTTTTGATCCATAAATAGTAGAGGGCTGATATTTGGACATGTATATGAAGAGTCTCCATTCTTTATCTGCAAGAAAGATCAAGGTCATATTTAGAGGTCAAAGGTCAAATACTGTGACGTCATCTACTGAATCAAAAATGTGCGACTGAATTTCTTTCATATTACATAGAGAGATTTTGTATCCTAGAACAAAATATCAAAGTTTCAAAAAAATTGAATTTGAGGAAAATTTTGGCCTATCTTTTGTGTACTACCTAATGATGCAGTTTGATTTTCACGTAACTCTTATAATAAAGTACTGTTGTTTCTTATAGTTAACGATTTGATCGTGTTCGCCAAGAAAACATGTATAAACAATGTACATGTGGATCCAAGAACAGGATAGAATGTTAATTTGCACTACAATTTGTAGAAGAAAATAATGAAATTTTGTACAACAATTGTTTGTGATACCAGTTTTTATTTATTTTACAAACATCATGCAGTAAATATAGTCTACTTTTATTAACTTACTCATGATTGTTTCATTAAAATGGTATTTTGCACCTAGTTTCCCAGCTTTGTGTACAACTATCTAGAGAACTGATGATCTTTGAAATGCTGGATACTGGACATCTGTTAATTTGAAACACCTGGAAATATAATGCTAGAAGTACATACTTTCCTAACCTTGGTGATGCAATTTGTTTTATACTACATTGTATATACATGTAAATAAATATATATATTTATATTGCCAGTCTTTATTCATTTTTTTTAATATGATCATGTGGTTTTGTACCTCTTCAATTTTTTTTTACTCCGTTTTAAACAATTGTGGAAATGTTAAATATTTCAAATACTACTGCGAGTCAGTAACATGATTCTGAAAACTGGAATATAAAATATCAGTTACTCATTTCATAAAGGGCTTTTTGTATAAAGTACGTAATTATTCGTCACGTATTTTTTTTCTTTTTTCCTATCAATTTTAAATTAGTATATTGAATGAGTGTATGGCTTAAAAACTTAGAGAATGTAAGTTTGCCAGTCAGATAGATTGCTCATATGTCGACTCGATAAATCCCAGTTAGCTTGAAATAAAAGATAAAACAGGGTCTGATGCATCTGTTTCATATTTGGATATTTTACTAGAAAAAAACTTTAATGGTAACCTAACACAAAGCTTTATGATAAATGTGATGACTTCAATTTTTAACCGTCAAATTTCCTTACTTATGTAGCAATATTAATATACCCTGATCACCAGCATTTTAGTCTCCCAGTTGATTCGATGCGTAAGAGCATGCTCTACGTACGAACAATTTCTAAAACGAGGCAAGCTATTGACAAACAAATTGATGAAACAAAGATATCAACAGACTCGTTTGAAGTCATCATTGCGCAAGTTTTATGGTCGATACATTGACCTTGTCAGCAAATACAACCTATCATTATAAGTCAAATGCTGACTGACGTTTTTCATACTGATTGTTAGGCCATTTTTTACACACTGAATTGTCTACGGATTTCTCAGTTTTTCCCGATCATGACAAGGAGCACACGGTGTGTGTGACCGATTGGCAGTGGATGCTCACTACTCCATGGCATCTGATCCCACCTCTAATGTCTTTGGAGGTCCTTGTTTGCTCTGCTCCCGATTTGTATTGTCTTCATGGACTTTGAGCGTGAATACTGTTCGT